AGGCCCTCTCCCCTATATATTCTACTGATCTATGTATTTATGCAATTTGTTTGATGTATAATATTAATTATACAAAAATGCAATGTTCAAAACTAGTTATGATTACATTATATTAGTATATTTTTTTCAAACATTGATAATTATTTTTTATTTTATAAATAATTCAATGATTAATAATWATTATTTTTAGAAAAATTGACTAACGAAAAGTTGGATGTTCCTGAAGTAACTCAATCTGAGGAAGGGCAAAAACAAAAATTATATGTTGTTCTTGGATCTGTAAATAATGTGAGTAAATATTGAAATTTAAACCCATTTTAATTAAAATTCAAAAACTTATTAAGATTTATTTTATTTTTTTAGATCTTGGGTCTCACAGGTAACAGATTATCACAACAAAAATGGAGTGTTGAAAGTGTTCATTCTAAAAACCTTGTAGCCATTTTGCATTTATTGGTATCACTAGCTCGTCATTTTCGAGCACCAATTCGTCTTCCTGAAAATGTTACTGTCAATGTAGTGATTGTACAGGTGTTTTAAAAATAAATATATACATTTAAATAGTATTGATTATCACTATGATTCATTCTACTTAACATAAATAATATTCATGTAGAAACGTGATGGAGTGTTGAAGAATCGAACTGTAATTGAAGAGATCACATCCAGGTACGACGATCTCGGTATGAGATGCGAGCGTGATGCTTTTGATACATTGTTTGATCATGCACCTGACAAATTAGAAGTTGTTAAAAAAGTATAAGATATTAAATTTTTAACTTAATTATAATTTTTATTAACCAATTGGATTTTTCAGTCTTTGGTGACATTTGTTAACAAACATTTGAATAAGATTAACATGGAAGTTCAAGATTTAGACACACAATTTCACGATGGTGTTTATTTGACATTATTAATGGGATTACTTGAAGGGTTTTTTGTGCCACTATATTCATTTAATTTGTCACCTCAAAATTTTGAACAAAAAGTACATAACGTCAATGTAGCATTTGATTTAATGCAAGAAATTGGACTAGCTGCCCCCAAAGCTAGACCGGAAGGTAACATATTATTTTATTTCTTAAAGTTCAAATGAATAGATTTTTATCTAATTGTTTTGGCTGGAGTTTTCTATTTTTTTTTTATTAACTTCAGTATAGTTTATTCAATATATTATCAATATCCAAAAATTATGAATAACTTTATAATATAAATTATAAGTGAATCATTATTTATTTTTTTGTTTAGATATTGTTAACTTGGATCTGAAGTCAACATTAAGAGTGCTCTATAATCTTTTTACTAAGTATAAAAATGTATACTAATCAAAACCAGATATAATATTTTATAATTGTTTATTTTAATTACATTTAACATATATTTAAGTGACACCATCGTTAATTAAACACAAGAGATATGCATTTAATGTACGAAAAAGGTAACTGTACTCTCATCCAATAATTAAGCGAACTACAATTAATAGCTTGAAAATTAAAATTATAAGTATACTTTGGTGTTATTTACTTTTTCTTTATTTACT